CTAAATATGTTTACAAGAACAAATTACTGGTAAGTCTGCAAGGATTTTTATGGGCTTCAGAACCTTTATTATGCTGGGGGGTGGAAGATAAATCAAGTTTTCTGTTTGATTCTGCATGATCATACTTTACGTTGATTCATTTTATTGTACTTTACCAAAGTAGGAATGGTTAATGGAGACATGAAAAAACTAAAAAATGTCTTTATTATTAAATTTGTAATTAAAAATGTACTTTGCCATTATAGGTAAACTAACTCTGAGCATCATTTAAAAATTATCAGTTTCAGCCACCTCTTCTTTCTTACAGACCTCAGAACTGGGAGTAACAGAACATGTGGAAGGAGATCCATGCAAGTTTGCCTTGTGGTCTGGACGGACCCCCTCTTCGGATAACAAAACAGTGTTAAAAGTAAGTCTCCAAAATTATTTTCCTCTATCTCCAATGCTTCATAATTTTTTTTCTTCAGTAGAAACTTCCAGATCAATAATCACAACCTGGGTCCTTTTCCCATTCAACTGAACTTACACAGAAACCCATTTCAGATCTTGCTACTCAGTATATGAAACTGTGGGACAAGTGTATATAGTAGATATAGAAGGTGAGGTGGTTTACACACACATGCCATGCATTCATAAGCAATGCGAGCTTCACTTCATACATCAGGGATTCTAGTCTATATAGTACATAATGCTATTTGAATGCCATTAGTCAATCTTTTTTTTCCGCCCAAGAACACATTATTTATTAATAAACCTTGCCCCTTCCCTCCCAAAACCTCCGTGTTTGCCTTTGAAATGCACACACAATATATTTCATTCACTTTGGAGCATCTGCAGAGTACAGTCAAAAAAGTTGAAGTAGATGCAACAGCTCTGCACACAAAATCCATGTGTAGTTTTGACTGCACTGTTGTAGCCATCACCTGAATGGTGGGGTTTTTTTACCACACCTTATATCAATGAATCTTTTTTAGTTACCACATACTCACTAGATCAAACTCATTGGATAAACCATAGAATGTATTTGTTCAACCTGCAACAAACATTCTATATATCAGGCACCAAAGCCTACATATAACAGTATATACACCGTATATTAGGAAGTAGCCTTCAGCTGCTAATTTGCTCCCACTTCCAAGGCTATCTTCATCAAGGATTCAGATTTCATTTTTAATCTTACTCTAGTTCTTCTCTTTGTTTGAATTAAGTTTAACTGGCTGTAAGCCAGAATATGATCATGGCTATATATTCAGGTCAAGATATGCCATGGTTTTATATATAAGCTATGTTTTTTTCACCATGTTTTGCACAATTTGCCCTAGTGGTTTTTAACAATAGTTTTAAAACTATTTTTAAACAATAGTTTTTTAAAACTATCACCAGGGGAAGGCCTCATTAAAACATGTAACATTATAATGTATATAGTCATATATATCTCGGAAGGAAATAATCCTAAACTTCATTAGATTAGAATGAATTGATCTACTGTTTTAACACAGTGTGAAGCAAACAACACTATTTACTTTTTACTGATCGTAGCAGTAGTTATATGATGGAAATGTTCTTTATAATTATTTCTTTAAAAACAATCATATGACAAATAGCTTTCTTAGTGCTAATGGTTTTTTTTTTTTAGGTTAGGTAGGGCAGTGGTGGGCTTCAAATAATTTAACAACCGGTTCTCTGTCCTAATGACCGGCTGGGTAGGCATGGCTGGGTGGTCATGTGACTGAGTGGGTGTGGCCAACTTGATGTCACTCATGTCGAGGGGCACTTAGCCTCGCCCGGCCTCTCTTGACCATGGGGATGCTGAAACGGTCGTAAGTGTGAAAAACAGTCATAAGTCACTTTTTTCAGTGCCATAGTAATTTTGAATGGTCACTAAATGAACTGTTGTAACTTAAGGATTACCTGTACAAAAATACAAAAAGCTTCTTTGCTTGCAAAAAGCTGCCCTAAACACCAATCATTAGATTAGAAATGAGGGAATACACACTAAGATCAATGAGTCACAGCTGTCATGGAAAGCTAAACCTCACGGATTGACTACTGCAACACTCTCTACATGGGGCTGCCCTTGAGGACCACTCGGAGGCTTCAGCTGGTGCAAAATGCAGCCGTGCGGGTTGTGATGGGAGAATCCCGATACTCCCATGTTACACCCCTCCTGCGCGGTTTGCATTGGCTACCGGTTGCCCTCCGGGTGAGATTCAAGGTGCTGGTGTTGACCTATAAAGCCCTACATGGCTTAGGACCAGGATATTTGGCGGACCACCTACAGCCAGCAACAACATCCCATCACCCGGTTCGCGCCCATAGAGAGGGCCTACTCAGGGTGCCGTCGGCTAGACAGTGGCAGCTGGCGGCCCCCAGGAGTAGAGCCTTCTCGGTTGGGGCGCCCACCCTCTGGAATCAACTCCCCTTGGAGCTCTGACTAGCACCTGACCTTCGCACCTTCCGCCGGGAATTAAAAACTTGGCTTTTCAAATCCCTTGACCTGGTCTGATGATGGGGTTTTAAGGGTTTTAATGGGTTAATTTTAAATTTTTTAGATTTTAGTCTTTATTTTTATTGTGGCTTCTGTTTTATTGTTGTGAGCCATTGTGAGATAGGGTGGCATATAAACCGAATAAAATAATAAAATAAAATAAAATAAAATAATAAAATAAAATATAAAATAAAAATAAAATAAAATAAAAAAATAAAATAAAATAAAATAAAATAAAATAAAATAAAATAAAATAATAAAATAATAAAATAAAATAAAATAAAATAAAATAAAATAAAATAATAAAATAAAATAAAATAAAATAAAATAAAATAAAATAAAATAATAAAATAATAAAATAAAATAAATAAAATAAAATAAAATAATAAAATAAAATAAAATAAAATAATAAAATAAAATAAAATAAAATAAAATAAAATAAATAATAAAATAAAATAAATAAAATAAATAAAATAATTATGTTTGAATATCTTCTTTTTCCTCAGCAATACCTGCCTCTCAGCCATTTCTTCTATGGCTATACCAACTTTTCTGTAAATAGCTGTTCAAGCCCCAGGAATAAAAGTACCACAAAAAAAATTCCAGGGGTGGGGGAACTCCAAAGAAGTTCAGCTACAGACAGAAAGAACCATTAAGGCTGTTACAATGTAACAAAGCTTAACCCAGAGGCAGTTTCTGAAATCACTTAAAGCAGCAGGAGTGGCAATTAAGATAAGGATTAGGCTAGAAATACAGGCACACTAGAATCTTTCCTTCCTGCGTTCCTTGCAGGATTAGCCCTGTAAAGTGGGAAAAGATTTCTTCCAACAACTGGTTCTCTGAACTGCTCAGAAAATTAACATACGGTTTGAGAACCAGTGTGGAACCGGCAGGAGCCCACCACTGGGTTAGGGTCATTTTACAAAGCTCCATCATTTTAGAGGCTTTATTTGAGAAACTATGTATATTGGGTCGTGTTGGGTTGTGTCATATTATATATCACAGACACAATACATATTTTATGTTTATCTGCCTTTCTTTTACTAGCAATGTACTTTTAGCACATGAACTTTTGCTGTCTTATCAGGAAAACTGTTCTGTTATGTAGGCAAATGAATGAAAGCAACTTTTAAAAAGAAGCAAAATATAGGGCCCTACTTGAGAAATACTGTAATTCTATTTTCTGCCTTTTCTGTTCAAATGTTTAGGCAACCAGTATTGAAACTAAACAAGAATGGATTAAAAATATTCGAGAAGTGATACAAGAAAGGATGATACATTTAAAAGGAGCTTTGAAAGAGCCAATCCAGCTCCCCAAAACCCCAGCCAAGCAAAGGAACAACAGTAAGAGGTAATCTTAATTGTTTTGTGAATATTCTATAATAAAACAACTGTTTTGCCACAGAAAGTCTGGATCTGCACTATAAATTCAATCTGGATTTAAACCATTGTTGAATAACAATATAAGTAGATCCACATACCATGATAAGCCTCACACACACACAAACTAAACCAGATCATAGCTTAATGAACTACACCAGTATAAGATATATAAGAACTGTTGCACTTTGTAGATCAAGTTTAGACTTCCTGAGCAGTGCCTGGGGAATATAATTGGTGAAAATAGTTTTTAGCTTATAAAAATATGTTTCTTGAGGTAATGCTTAGTCAGATCTGTCTGTGTATTTCTTTCTGTCTATATCTGTCCATCTATTTGGATCCAGATTATGTACTTTATTTTGGTAGAATTAAAATGATGTTAAAGCAATGGCCCATGAGGGAGGAGATGCTAACCTTCCCTAGACGTTGTTGTATTAATAGTCTGTATTGATTAGATCATTGATAACATACTTTACAAGATTCATGTCCTCTATTTTTTTTTTTAAAAAAAATCTAGCATTGAAGTTCCTTGCAATAGCATCCTATAAGCAGAAATTGGAATGAAGGCTGGAAAATACTCCATAATGTTTCAAATTATTAGAAATATTTTAAAAGGAGAATAAATTAGTTTGTTCATATTTTATATTTTTCAAATTTTGATAGCTTCATCATTTAAACCACAGAACACATGAGAACTGAGGAATTGACATCAGTTTTGCAAAACAGCTAGGCTATAATTTAGATGGCTGGGTTTGGTTAAGTGAGAAATCCAAGCAGAACAGGTCATTGGCCTGCCACATTCATTATGGAGCTATTTTGAGATATGTTGCTGTCACTATATAAACCTGGAATAGTCAGTTTTAAAGAGCAAAAGTGGTTATTATGCACTAACCTCACTTTAGGGATGACATCAGCATTCTAAATTACAGGCTAAGTTGCAACACATGTGTGATCAACTGAACAACTTCTTCTTCACGCTGCGCGTGCCTGAACACTTTTCAAATTCATTCAAGAAATTTCTTCTTGTTTTTTCCTCTGCAGAGAGGGAGGAGAAGATGCCGACAGCCAAGGAGATGGGAGTAGTCAGCCTGACACAATTTCAATTGCATCCAGGACTTCTCAGAATACAGTAGACAGTGACAAGGTAGGATTTATTCTTGAAAATCTGACACCTCTAAAATACAAAAGAATAGGTGAGAAACAAAAATTAAGTGGCATTTCTTCATAGAATTAGGTGCCCTGCGATGTTAGTAACAATAGCTGAGAAATAAAACTGTAGATTGTGTCATATGCCAATGGTCACATATAATGTATATTTCTAAGTGGCTGTCCACTCCACTGGAACCATAGGCATACAGGAAAAGTCAATTATGCATACACTGAAACCCTGGGTAATTTTTTATTTGCGGGAATGGGGGCGGCAAGTAATTTAAAATAATACCTTTAAGAGAATCACCAAGATTCTGTGTGATGTGTATGCTGACCTTCACAAGGGAAGATGTTCAAATGTTCCACATTTTATTGGAACATATGGAACAAATACTGCTGTTACATGTGTTCCATATGTTATGGAACAAAGATAGGAAGGATGTTAGAAAAAGAACAGAGAGTCTATGGGCAAATTAGGAGGGCCAGCTTGACTTCAGAGAAGTCACTGCAAAAACTACAATGTTTTGGTTTTTGTTTGTTTCAGTGAAGCTGCCAGTTGTCCCCTTGAACAGTTCGCTATCTATGTTTGGTTTTAAAGGTATGAATGTTGGGCTGGAGATGCTATGCATGCTGAAGATTTGTGCCATGGTAGCCTCATTTGCATTTTCAGAACGCAGATCTTGGAAGACACAGCACAGTTTTGTAGTTTTGTGTGCGGGTTTGTGTGTGTGTGTGTGTATGTATTCATATTTGCTGGAAGCACAGTGACACAAAGCTTTCCAGAGAAAATTGAAGGGCGTTGCGGGGAGGTTGACAAAGAATTTGGGCTACTCAGCTCCAGGAGTAGAGCTTGGTACAGATGGACTACAAGCCTTTTGAAGCAAATATTCAAGGGGATAGACTATCAGTTGTGAAAACTGGTGCACATTTTAAAATATGGGGCCCAGAGTATAACATCCAAATTGCATTGTAGAATGATGAAGACATTGTTTGGATGAACTAGAAGGCAAAAAATTTCTTTGCTATAATTTTTTGCTGTAGTTTTTTCCCCCCCTCCACTCCACAACTAAAATTTCATATGTTTCAGATTAAATTTTCATTTGATATCTGGCTCAATGTTAATTTTCAAAAGGAACAATGATATAAAGCTTTATTGCCTGAATAAATATTCTGTGTGTGGGATATTTGGAAATGGCATTGATGATCATGATAAGCCATGTTCTCTATTTGGAGAACCAGTCTGGGTTACAGAAATAAATTGTGTATTTCTAAATTACACAAATAATATCTGCCTTATAGATATGTGCCAATATAATTAGTTTCTTTTCCAAATAAAGTGTGAATGGTATTATCCTTTGTAGTCAATAGGTTCAGCAAATACATGGGTCAGATGCAGTCTGAAAGCTTCTTGTCTTTACTTATTTTGAAACCATTTTCTATCTGCCTTGTTTTTATGATTAGAGATAAGTAAGCACGTTATGTTGGTTGCACAATACTTTCATTTAAGAAATGGTCAAGATTTTAGAAAATCAACTGCCAGTGGCATTCGCAGAGGAAGTCAAAACAAGTAAGAGCAGCAAGGTTAAAACCTTTCTATGTGCATGCAGTATCAATACCCACACAAAAGGGCAGAGTTTAAACCATAGCCTTACCTGTTTTCACCCCCTCTGTGGGTTGCTATTGTCACAGCCAAAGTCTTGATTGTGCATATTTCAGACACGATAAATAAAGCAATTGCTTTATTCGTATCACTTTTTTGCTATCCATTTTCAGCACAACAGGGGAGACTTCCCTCATTCAGAATGCTGCAACAAGAGTAAATTTGGCCTCTGTGATTTTCCATTTATTCTTCCTCAATCAACACCTCAGTTGCCACGCAACATACTGATACAACTAAACCCTGACTTTCCAGATTCTTAACCCTTCGTTCAGGAATTGTCTTACTGGCAGAAGGCTCCCAGAGACAATATACCAAGATTAGCTCCTTTACCAGGAACAAGAATGAAGCCATCTAGTCACTGCCTTTGCCCACTGCAACATATAAAAATAAAAATCTTATCCAAGTCTGTGCTCCATGGTTTAAATTCTATACTTTTTTCGCCCATCCGATTTCTAAATCGGAAGCTTGACCATTAGAACAGTTCTCATTAGCATGGAAATTGTTTCTTCCTGCCTCACCAGTTATATTTATTCTAGTACCTTTCCACTTTTGCAATAATATAATTTTTAGCACAATTATTTCCTTAGTGTTCCTTTGGATTCCCTGCTGTGGTGACATTTAAATTGTACATTGGCATCAGTACATGTACCTACATATAGCAAAACACGATACATACTCATCATCATATGTGTCCTCTATATGGCTACTTTTCTTGGTACCCTTCTGCAAAAGTTAAGAGTTAGTGAATGCAATGGGAAACTTGTAAATTTAAATAATGATCGGTCATAACCAGACAATAACACTTACAACACTGTAGCTGGCATGCTGTTAACATGTCCATTTACCATTGTCAAACTATTCAACTCCATGTTTTTTTCCAGCCTAGTTTTCATAGTTTTAAGATTATCATAGCACTTTTGTAAATAAAATTCCAGGCTTCACAATTCTCTCTGTGTAGGGTAGATTATAACGTATCAACTAGGAATGGATGATTTTGCTTTCTATTACAGATAGCCTTTTCAATGTGTCTCAGTTTTAAAACAGTTTCTTATTTCTTTTTAAATTGTCTACAGGTAGTCCTCGATCTATGACCACAATTGGAAATTTTTGTTGTTAAGCAAGGAAATTTCTGTTGTTAAATGAGTTTTGCCCCATTTTATGACCTTTTCCAACCTTTCTTGCCATAGTTGTTAAGTGAATCACCACAATTGTTAAGATAGTAACATGGTTGTTAAGTGAATCTAGCTTCCCCATTGACTTTGCTTGTCAGAAGGTCGCAAAAGATGATCACATGACATTGGGACACAGCAACGGTCATAAGTATGAACCAGTTGCCAAACATCTGAATTTTGATCACATGACCATGGGGATGCTGCAACAGTCATGAGTGTGAAAAACGGTCATAAGTCACTTTTTTTCAGTGCTGTTGTAATTTTGAATGGTCACTAAATGAACTGTTGTAAGCTGGGGACTCCCTGTATTTGAAATCCTGAGTGTTTTTAATGTGTGCATGTTAAAGCACACATAACCATATGAAATTGGCCCTCTTTTCAATACATTCTTTCCTACTTTAATAACATCCCTAATATGTACATCTTTATTTTTATTGATTTTATTATTATTTGTTTGATTGTTGTGAGTCATTAAGTTATTGAGAGATATGTGGCATACAAATAAACAAATTGTCATGATTAATATAATATTTTCCTAACATATACTATTTTATCAAGTCCCTGCATTGTGAAATTTAGAAAAGTGCAAAACTGTACAGATAATTGCAATCTGTTCATTCAGTCTTACGATAATCAAATTTCTCTTCTATTTCTATATAAGAAGGAGTATTGGGATCCATTTCTGGAATCCATTAAATGTCATTAGAATGAGCTATAGAATAATGGTCTATTTTTTTTAAAAAAAGGAAGATTAAAATGGTTTCTTAAACTATTAATTTGAAGCAGCAGGAAGTTGTTTCTTCACATTTAGTTGGCAGAGAGTTAGAATGGGCATGAGTGAGAATAAATTCTCCTGTTGCTATTGAGTTTTTTTCACTATTTATATAAGCAAATAATCCACAGCGTGAGCCAGAAGTATAAATTTAGATTATAGCCATCTGCTTTTAAACAGAGTTTAACCAGCAGCTTCCTGAATGTGCAATTCCACCTTATGACCCACCTCCCATTTACCCACATAAAACTATCCATGTGATTTGCCCCCATCTCCCAGCATGTGCTTCAATTGCGTGCGATGCCTGAAAGCGTTGATCATCAAAGCATTTGCTTGGGTGGAAAGCAATATATACGAATGAATCAATAATACAGCAGTTTGATTCTTGCTTCCTACACTCAAGACTTATGAGAAATGCTATTTTGACATTGCCACATTTGAGGTTCTGTGTTGAATGGGAGAGCTAGGTGCTTTCAGTGTTTGTGAAGTTTACCCTTCTAATTGTAATAATTTGGGTTTGAATGATCCTACATGTTTCCACCTAGAGGACAGTATGTACGTGAATAATAACTTCGGATGATTCTTTTTCAATATCATTTCCTCCATCAGCAAAGAAATCATTGCTACGTGCAGTCTTTAAGAGTATAGGGAAATGTTGCAGGATAGCCTGCTGAATCTTTTATTAGCGTGATTCAACTGCTGTTCCTTCAATATATTCCTGCAGAGCATAAAAAGATCAAGATGAACAATGTGGGTTTTTATTCTATAGCTAGTTTCATGCTGTGAATAGTTTGCAGAATACATTTCAATAGAAAGTGATCGAAGAGAGGGCAGGTGCTTGCGTTTGCTTTGCAAAAACAAAGATAGGAAGGTACAGAAGATGTAATGGAAGATGAGAAGAACTGCATTAGATATTGATGTGTTATGTCCTCTCCCAGCCATATTTATTCAACTAGCTTCCTCACGGGTCTAGACATAAGGGGTGAAATCCAGCAGGTTCTGACAGGTTCTGGAGAACTGGTAGCGGAAATTTTGAGTAGTTCGGAGAACCGGCAAATACCACCTCTGACTGGCCCCAGAGTGGGGTGGGAATGGAGATTTTGCAATATCCTTCCTCCAGGAGTGGGAAGGAAATGTGGATTTTGCAGTATTATTATTATTATTATTATTATTATTATTATTATTATTATTATTATTATTATTATTATTAAGATTTCTATACCGCTTCATAGTGCTTTAGAGTCCTCTCTAAGCGGTTTACAAAGTTAGCATATAGCATATTGCATATTAGCATATTGCATTAGCATTAGCATATTGCCCCCAACAATCTGGGTCCTCATTTTACCCACTTCGGAAGGATGGAAGGCTGAGTCAACCTTGAGCCGGTGAGATTTGATCTGCTGATCTGCTGAACTAGCAGTGAAGCTGAAGTAGCTGCAGTACTGCACTCTAACCACTGTGCCACCTAGACTCTATATCCTTCCCCTGCCATGCCCACCAAGCCATACCACACCCACCAAGCCACGCCCACCGAACCGGTAGTAAAAAAAAATGGATTTCACCACTGCTAGACTTGATACTGCTGACCTTGAGGTTTGCTAACACAACTTCTGACAAAAATCACACTCACTAAAAAGAGAAGTATAAAAACATCACAAATGTGTTTACCAGGTAGCAATAGCAATAGCACTTAGATTCATATACCGCTTCACAGTGCTTTTTACAGCCCTCTCTAAGCGGTTTACAAGTCAGCCTATTGCCCCCAACAATCTGGGTCCTCATAATACCTCAGGTATTAAGCACAATGGTAGGCTTACCACTGAGAAGAAAAAGATGGAATCTTCGTATGGACTCCATCTTCCTATTCAGATATTCTACCCACACCTGCAATGAAAACCAGGAAGAGACTGGAATTTTGTCAATAAACAGGTAATCCTCGACTTATGACCACAATTGAGCCCAAAATTTATGTTGCTAAGTAAAATATTTGTTAGCTGAGTTTTGCCCCATTTTACTATCTTTCTTGCTACAGTTGCTAAGTGAATCACTGCAGTTGTTAATTTAGTAACCTGTTTGTTAAGTGAATCTGATTTTCCCATTGACTTTGCTTATCCCAAAGGGGATCACATGGCCCTGGGACACTGCAACTGTCATAAATATGAACCAGTTGCCAAACTGAATTTTTGATCATGTGACTACAGGGATGCTGCAATGTTGTAAGTGTGACAAACGGTCATAAGTCCCTTTTTTCAGCACCATTGTAACTTCGAACAGTCACTAAATGAACTGTTGTAAGTTGAGGACTACCTGAATTGTCCATCCTTATAACGAAAATATCAGCTAAGGATTCTTCAGTTTGTGGTTCTGCTGCAACCATTTTTAGATTTATTGCCTTTTTTTTTAACTCAGCTGTATAATTTATATTTTGAATTCTCCCTCATGGTTTTACATTGTTTTGTAAACTGTTTTAGGAAGCCTTTGCTATTAAAAATGACTAATATATTCCTAATAAATACATAAAAACTTAGCAGTCACTTTATTACCATTGTACAAAGTATACTAGGGAAAGGGAAGTTGACACTACATTGTTCCTAAATTTACAACAAGCTGTTACTAGAATATAAAATGACATCAAAAGTTCGGAAGAAGGATAACATTGAAAGCAAGCTCTTTTATCTCTGATTTTCCAAGAACCACACATCTTTGAGTATGGTTTAATTGATGACTTCTAAAGCAATTAATATTAAATTTTAAAAGATTTAACAAAATTTGGGATAGCATGCAGACCATGACAATTGGAATTATTTCCAACTTCTTAGAAAGTGGCCTGCTTTATTACAGGAAGAGTAAGAGCCTTCCAAACTGTTGCTACACTACCTCTTTATAGCAATGTATTTGAAGTTTTCTTCCTTCCTCCCTCCCTCAGCTTCTTTTGTTGGGGCTTGATGACAGACTGATGGAGACCAACAAATTATTAATTTTATTTAGTGTAGTAGCATAGCAGTTATCTTACCCAGTTGCTTAGTAAGAAGTTAAAATACAAGACTAGAATGATGTCATTATGTTCAAGTTTAATCACTTCTCAAGAGGTGAAGTCCTTAGTAATCCTAAGAATACTTGTCAAGAAATTCACTGTTATTTTCTGTTG